GGAGCACTAGATAGACCATTCCAGGACAACAGGGACTAGCATATTGATGTAGATCCCTTTCTCTAAGCCAGTTGCCCATGTACTGGGCCTGAGTGACTGAATAATCAACAACTTCATCTGCTATTGCTGCTGGTAATTTTCAGATCTGGCATGTATTACTGAGACCCAGATGGGTAGCAACAGGGACATAGCCCTGTCATAACTCTGTCTGACCAGGTTTTAGGTCCTAGGCCACCTGACCTGCCAAGACCAGAGAGAAGAAGTAGCTGTAACGGTGTGTAAGACTCTTGTAGTGACCAGGAGCACTGTTCTGGAAGAGACTGGATGTGAGTGCCTGTGCTTGGAATTGGACGCAACAACAAGATATGGCTCTTGCTAGCTGCTTGATAGTGACCTTCTCAAGCTCCTGGATCTTGTCTTGGGGCAGGTGTTGAAGTTTCTGAGACTTTTACTCTTGGGTGAATTCAATGTCCATGTGCTGGGACAGAGGTCTGGTGCAGCTCATGAGGTCATATTCTCCATGGTGACTATGGGCTTGTCATAAGTAATTGCAGGCCCAAAACAATGGGAGGGCACATGGTAGTTCAGATCTTTATTTAGAAGATGAGACATTATTTGAATATGGAGCACATTGATATCTTTCCTTTGCCATGGTCAGATTATTTCTTTATCAAACTGCAGATCACAGATCCTCTGGACTTCCACAAGGACGGTGATCTGTCTCAGATGCCTAATGAAGCCAGGAAGTTTTTTTTTCCTGACAATCATATTTGTCAGAAAATATGATCCAATCTTATTTAATAACTTTTGCCTGATCTCCAACCTTTCCTTTTCAAGTTGTTGAGAGGTGTCATCAGTATACTGATGATACCCAGTTATAAATTGCCAGAGCAGGCCAAGCTGGGGGTGCCATGGAAATCCTGATCCAAGGTCTGGAGACTATGTGGATCTGGTTGGAGTGAAACAAACTCATGTTAAACCCTAACAAGACCAAGTTGCTATTTGTTAGTGAACAACTAGGCCATAGGATGGCATCAGCTGTTAGCTACTCTGAAGGAGGTGCTTCATTTCTTGGGATCTTCCTGGATTCTCAGCTCCCACTCAAGCATCAGGTGGCAGGTAGGCCAGAAGTGCATTTGCTCAGCTTCAATTGGTGTACCAGTCACAACCCTAGACTGGAATTCTCTGATGATGGTAAATCACACCCTGATCACTACATGGTTAGACTACTATAAAGCTTTCTATGTGGGGTTGCTTTTGGAAACAACTTGGAAACTGCAGCTGGTATAAAAAGTGACAGTTAGATTGCTGGTGGGACAACCTTGCCCATTAGAATACCACAATTTTAAAGTTGCTGCACTGATTACCAGTAGCTTTCAAGTCTGGGCCCAATTCAAAAGTGCTGGTCATTACCATTAAAGTCCTATATAGCACAGCACTAGTATTTGCTTTTGAATTTTTTTAATCCTTTGTGCTTTGTTGTTTGCCGTCCAGACTCCCTGGTGACTGGGAGAGGCTACAAACATTGTTAAATAAATAAATAAATAATTTTTGGTTTATAGCAGAGTTCCAAGTTGCTTGCCCTTGTCTCGATTCCAGAACTCATCTCTGCTGTTTTTAGCAATGTTTCAGACTGGTTTCATTTTAACAGACTTTTAAGGCATTGAAAAATTGTTTAACAGGATGTTGATCATCTGATTATTTTTAATTTGCATCCAAAGCTTTGTTTGAAACAATGAGGAAATCAGCAAAAAACACTTTTATTTATAGTAAAGTGCATATGCTGTATGAGGAGGAAAGGAAGATTGAAACTGAGCTTTTCATGTGACTGGGAGGGCTGGGGGAACTCCATATTGACTTCAGTAACTAAGTACTATTGAACACATGGATCACAACCAATATGTTAAAAACAATGGTGTTCCTCTGGCTAACTATGTTTCCACCTGAACTACATTCAAGAAAATATTACAGATAGAAATGAAAAAGTCCACTGACAACAATCACAAGTAATTGAAAAGGATTGTAATTTGTTTTCCAAAAGAAAGTGAAATCCTTATGTATGTCTTGTATATTATATTAAACTGGTATTCTATTAAACAATTTTCATAAGATAGGACTACCATATCTGGGTTGCAAAAATCTGGAAGACCACTTGGTAGCAGCATTAAGACTGTAATCATAGAGATATAGACATAGATATAAATATAGATGTATACACACACACACACACACACACACACTTAGGAAGAAGCCACTTATAACAGATAATTTCAAACATTCACAGTTAATGTCTATTTAGGTTCTAGAGTTGGGAGATTCAAGAATTCTTTAGTCCTACTCCTAGGAATACAGGTAGTCCTCATTTAGCAACTGCCTCATTTAACAACTGTCTGCAGATACGACAGTGATGAAAAAGTAACTTTACGACCAGTCCTCACATTTACAACCTTTGCTGGTCTGTAAAGCAAAGGAAAGCTGAAGTAAGATTACAAGCACAGTTGTGGTTTTACTTAGCAACCACTTCACTTAAGGAGCTGCTGGTCCCAATTATGGTCACTAAATGAGGACTACCTATAATTTAACTACTAAAAATTAACACCTTTGATTTTAATAGGATATCTATATATACTGAGTGTATATATTTTATCAATTCCTTGTGGGATTGAGCTTTTTTTTACTATTTTATTTGTAATGGAATCACACCAGTCCCTGATCTCTTTAACTACTGTGATAAGCTCCACATCTTCTCTAGCAACATGTTCTGGATTTGTCAAGTTAAAACCTGTACTAGAGGCTGAACTTTGTGCTTGTTCTTGTCTTAGGATTCTTGTTTACATATTAAATAAGGATGTGCTCTGCTGAGTAGCCTATTTTTACTTATATGGGTCTTGTCATGTGAAGAAGCCAATTTCCTAGGTATAGTTCTCCATTTATATTAGAGGTTATAGGTACAATAAAGTGGTGTAATATATAAAAAAGTAGCCCCTTGGTGATCCTTCCTCTTCAGAATTTCTCCTTAACTCAGGATGACTTCTAATGCTCTATTTCCTGTAACTGTTTCAGGGAGTAACATACATATATCCTTTAAATACAGATATGACTGTATCTGCAAGCTCTGATGTGAAAATAAACATAATATTTTAAGAGTGCTCCAATTGCTTTGTGATTGACTCCAAAAAAGTCTATTTTTCCTATCTTAATAAAGTACTTTTTAAAAAAGGTTTAAAATATTTTCAGTGCATTATGGAAAAACTAGCAAAGCACCCTGGTGATTGGTTATAAACTCATAAATATACCTCTCCCCTCTCTCATTCCCCAGCAGTTTAGTAATTGTTTTTCAACCACAGTGCAGAAAAGTTGAAATTATAAATGGCTTTTGGATGGACTTCTTAGTTACACGAAGTGGATGATAGCAAGTTAAAGTATGTCAGCGCTGTTTCCCTCACTGCTGAGTTTGCACCATGGACATCAAATGTCTGGGAGTAACAGATAAGACCCTCCAGTTCAGAAAATGTAGCTGTTTCCTGATGATCTGTTTTGAAAAAAAGGTACTAGCAGCCAGGCTGAAGGCCTACTGAAGCCCACAGCAGAACTTCACGTATCTAGCACCACCGGCCACTTCTGGGAGGACCACACATGTTGTTAATGGGGATAATAAGTGTGTTTTTATAGTTTTTTATAAGTAGTTGTTTTTTATGTATTTATTTTTTTTAATTGTTGTATGCCGCCCAGAGCCACCTTGTGTGAGATGGGTGGCTATATAAATATGATAGATAAATAAATCAATAAATAAATTTGGTGTTTTCATGAAAGGAATAAATACAGGCAGTAAGCCTGTCCAGTATATCTCATATACTTTGTAGCTTGGATATTTGTTTAGCTGAACATCTATAGAAATTAAAGAGCATGGCCCCTCTACTTTAGAGGAACCCTTCCTAATCCAATTCTCACCCTGCACTTCTAAACAGAAGCATAATTTTAGCAATGAAGATAAGCAACTGCACTATAGGAACCACCCTGTCTTGGTGGTTGGTTAGAGGTTAGGAGGGATGGGGCAAGGCAGTGAGAGAAATGATGGGACAAGCTGCTGATTTTCATTACTTATTTCTCTTTAAGAATATTTCCCATTGCATTGTTTTATTCATAGGCAGGAGATGAATTTGTTCAGTGATTATCCATGTTCCAGATACAGAGAAGTGGCCAGGTCCCTTAGTAATCAGCAAAACACAATAATTCAGAGCTGAATTAAGTCTTGGTTTTTATATTCTGCATTAAGAAATCCTAGACATCTAAAACTGTATAAAGCAACCTTCTATCTGGATACCTTGCCACTAAACCACGTGTCATCCACAAACGACTATGGAGTTAAATTAAAAAGCACTAACATCTATTCATGAGACAGCTTCCCCAAGCTATGGGTGCGAGCCAGGTGAAGACTGGCCCTTTAAGAAACCAACTCAATCGTGAGAGGAGCTGCTGCTGCTGAGGCTTGCTTAAATTCCCAAGTGTCCAGTTAAGAAATAGACAGCTGTCTCTTTAAATGCCATTTCCTCCTATTGTATTTGAATCGTGATCAGGAAAGAGGATGTGAAACCAGAGAAGCTCAGAGGAGAGACCATCGGGTTGGCTTCAATAATCGTCTATTAGCAATAATAGCAGCGGCGGCCCCGGCCCCGGCCATAATGATGCTGGAGGAGCCGGGGATGCTCGACGCTGCCTCCGCAGTGCAGGAAGCCCTTTCCAAGCAGACAACCTAATCCAGGCAGCGAGGAGACTCCGGGATACGCACAGCGGTGACAGCTGAGCGCCGGCCCTGAGCGCCAGCAGCAGCGGGCTCTGCCCAGCGGCCAGCCGCGCAGCGCGAGCGGCAGGAGCGTTCCCGGG